ACCTCTGGCCAAAATGTATCTAAGTATCTTCCTAACATTCTAAATATGCCTCTTTCAGAATCGTGACAGCCCTTGTCACCCATCAATCCTGGTGATCCTCCCTGACGAGGGAACTCAGCCACTTCAACTCCGGACCATCTTAGGTATACGCATGGTTAATTCTGGTCTACTCTCTGGCGCCACCTGCCGACCACATAGCATTTCAACTCAAAAGGGAAGAGTTTGAATTTACAAACCTCTCATCTGGAGCCTGGATCTGCATATTAACAGCTAAAAAATGGGGTTTTACAAAATGCTGTCGAGTCCTAGCAGGATCTTCAGTCTGAGGTTTCAAGCAAAAATAGTGGGATGAATCACTAACTGTGAAGGAAATAAGATGTGTGTGTAATAATTACGAGAGGACTAAGCCCTGTTGCTTCAAGTTCTCTTTAATCAGGTCATAGCCTGACTCTAAAGAAGCATTAACATCCGGTATATTTTGACGAGATATCAGTTTATTAGGAATCCATTCCTTTTTTGCTCATTAGTACTGAACACTGCTTTTCAAATATCCACGTAACAGTATGTAGGACATGGTCCTTCCGCCCACTGAGTTAGAGCTATGTATCAACACACTAATACCCCAAACCCGGGTGGGAGGAGTATTCCAGAACCGGGCCTCAGAGCGGCTAGGAGGTACCATTTACTACCCAAATTGAATGAAATGGGGGAAAGAGGGAGCCTTTATTAGAGTTGGAAAATCAAGTTGAAACAAATGTATTCACTCCTTAATGCATTTAATTCCAACTCCTAATTGGAATCCTTTAGGTAACATTTGAGATCAACAACAGATAGGTCACGTGATTCAGAAGTGATCTCAAAGTTGTTACAGTGTAAAAAAAATTACAATAAAACAGTATAAAATACAATTTATTACAGGGCGAGGTTACAAGAATCTTTAAAAACATCAAGAGCAAACCTCTTACAGAATTCTACCAATGATTTCTTTGTGGGTCCCCCCCCTTTGTTTTTTAAGCTCTAGTCTGGGATGGAATCCGCTGGACAGAGCAGGGCGGGGTGCGCGGCTCCTTGGATTATGGAGTATGTCTGCTTGGGCAGTTCCTGCTGCGCAGAGGAGAAGATAGGCGGAGCCGTGGTGGCCACCGTGATGCTCTGGCCCCCATCGCTCACCACGGTCACTTCAGCTGTCCCCTCCTGAATCAAAGCGTTAAGGCCTTCCAAGTCCGTGCACGTGATGCCCGAGCTGGTGATGAAAGTCTGGTTGCCAGCTCCTTCCTGGGGCCCGGCCGGAGCCGTGGGGATCAGAGTCTGCTGCAGAGTGGCCCCATCGGTTTGGTCATGAGTGGTCAGCAGGACAGCGGGCTGGGCCATGGCACCCGCCTCGCTCGGACACCCCGAGGACGGGGCAGGAGCGATGAGGCTGACCTGGCGTAGGATCTGCAGCCGGCTGTTCCCAGGGAGCTCCTCTGGGCTCTGGGCCACCAGCGCAGGTGGCGCGATGTTGACCGCGGCGGTGGCCGCTTGGACGATGGTGGCTGCCTGCGGCACTTGATGCCCCACGAAGATTTTGACCCTGCCCTCGCCGAACTGGGGCACCTGGCTGGGCTGCAGGGGCACCTGGAGGTGGCCGACGGTGAGGGGCGCTGCAGGCTGCTTGCTGGGGTCGATCTGGAACTGCAGCACGGTCACGTCCGAGTTCTTACTGTCGCTGTACTCACTGTGCTGCCGCTTGTGGCTGCGGAGCGAGTCCTCGCGCATGAACGAGGCGTCGCACAGGTCGCAGTGGAAGGCCTTCTTGGCGTCCAGCTTGGCCACCTGCCGGCTGCTCCGCCTGCCCGCGTCCTTCCTCTCCAAGGCCTCGGTCTTGACCATGTCCCCGTGGAACTTCTTCACGTGCTTGCTCAGGTTGCTGGGCTGCTTGGTGTCGAAGCTGCAGTAGCTGCACTTGAACGGGCGGTCGGAGCAGTGGATGCGCTCGTGCACGCGCAGGGCCGCCTTGCTGGAGCACGAGTAGCTGCACTCGGAGCACTTCTCCGGGTGCTCGGACTGGTGCACGCGGCTGTGCTTCCGCAGGGTGGCTTTGCTGTCACCCAGGAAGTCGCAGTGCGGACACTTGAAGTTGTTCCCGCTGTGCTTGATGCGGATGTGCGACTTGAGGTTTCCCTTCATGGTGCAGCGGACATTGCAGAACTCGCACTTGAAAGGCTTCTCCCCCGAGTGCACGCGCATGTGCCTTTTCAAGTCCGAGCTGATTTTGAACTTGGCGCTACAGAGCCAGCACTGGAAGGGGGCGTCCCCTGTCAACACAAGGTGAGTTTCCATAAGAATAGGAAGGCAACAACACAGCGGATCCCCCCGAAGCACACCCGCTTATACCAAGGCAGGTGGGTGGTGGCGACCTTCTAATTGCAGCTACCAGCAGCCCCTGGGAGGGGGAAGGAAGGGAAAGGTTTCTCTTCTGTCCCCAAACCTAAACCACCACTATGTGCTTTGGCACACCACCGCCCCTGTGCAACCCAGAAGAAAAAATGAGAGCTTGACAAGAGCTATTTAATTGTCCCAAGTAAGATTTGTAAGCATAGTCCTAAATCTTTAAAACCATCAAGCTAGCCTTCATTTAGTAAACGCACACGCTTTGCTAGTTAATGGTTCACAGTTGTGTAATTTTGCACAATCCGTTGGCTTTGATTGAGTTACATGTTGTAACAGCTTCCACAACACATCTCCAAATGGGTCAGCTCCATGCGTGCAGTTATTGGAGTATTCTTTTTACAATGATCGAGACACAGATATATTTCATGCAGATTTTTATTAATAGACACGTGTTTATTGCGCAAAAATTTATTTATCCCACACTGCCAGCTGCGTTCTTGTGAAGTTACAGAATCCAGCGGCTTTTTTTTTTTTAAATCATATTTGCTGAAACATGAGCAGGAGTGAAATTACAAACATGTGAATGAACATGATATGTCAGACTGATCTCCCAATGAATGCCAAGTCCAGATTAGCTAAGACACGGAAAGCTCAAGCAAATTGGTGAGCCCCTCATTTCAGTATTGTTAAAGCAGCTAAGAGTCTTCCATTGCTTCTGGGATGGCAGGTGCTAAACCCATCACTCCACAGGATGGTCTCATCTGATGCCTGAAACCCCCCTTTGAGGTAGGCGTTATTACTGATAGGAGTCCTAACACTATTGTATAGATGGGGAGGCCAAGTGACGCCCAGAGAGACTCGTAATTTGTTCCTGCTCACCATGTAGAGTGGGCAGGACTTTGTTCCAACCCTGACTGGTTCTGAAGATAGGTGTACATTTAACCCAAGTCCTTCTTCTTCGGACATACATTCAAAAGACTGTGCACCAGGGCTTTTTTTTTTTTTTTTGATGGGGCTAGGGTTTGAACTTAGGGTTTCACACTTGCAAAGAGGGCTCTCTACCACTGAGTAGTCCATTTTGTTCTGGTTATTTTGGAGATAGGGTCTCATGAACTATTTGCCTGGGCTGGCCTTGATCCTCCTGATCTCTGCCTCCTGAGTAGCTAGGAGTCCAGCTTTTTGATATTAAGCTGCTTAATAAATTCAGTAAGAGGCAACAGGGAGCAATTTAATGAGCGTCCAGAAAACGATGGAGTCTGAATCTAAACACTGCTTTGCTGACTGAATGGCACAAGATCATGCTTCCTAAACTCTAGAGCAAAGAGGGGTGAGCTCCAATCTGTAGGCCAAATCCTGCCCAGGACCTGTTTTTGGTAGATGAAGTTTATTGGAACATAGCTATGCCTGTTTATTTACACAATTATATTTACTTATTGTGGTACTGGGGTTTGAACTCAGGATCTACACCTTGAGCCACTCTGCCAGTCCTTTTTTGTGATGGGTTTTTTCGAGTTAGGGTCTCCTGAACTATTTGCCTGGGCTGGCTTTGAACCACGACCCTCTTGACCTCTGCCTAGGGTAGAGCTAGGGTTACAGGTGTGAGCCACCAGCATCCAGCTTACTATCTGGTCTTTTTTTTTTTCAGAAAAAGCAACCTTTTTCTGCCTTAGGATTTTTTTTTTTTTTCCCTTTCTGGTGCTGGAAACCAAACCCAGGGCCTCCCAAGTGTTCCCAACCCCTAGAATGTTATGCTTAGCCTTTTGTGTGCTATCGCCCCCTTCTGGCAGTTTAGTGGAACCTCTACAAGAATAATGTTTTAAACGCACAAAAATAAACTAAAAGACAATAGGAATACAAAAGAAACCAATTATATTGAAATAGCTACTGAAATATTAAAAGAAAAAAAATCTGTATATGCAGTTGTGTGTTTTATCAGTGTATGTAGATGACCTACAAGAGCTAGCAGCAGGGCCAGGTTACATAGCGGCTCACGTCTGCTAATCCCAGCTACTTCAGAGGCAGAGATTAGAGGATTGAGGTTCGAAAGCCAGCCTCAGGGAAATAGTTTGTGAGACCCTATCTAAAAAAAAACCAACACAAAAAGGCTGGTGAAGTGGCTCAAGTGCAGGCTCGAGGTCAGCCCTGTTACCGGCAAAAAAAGGAGGGCTAGCATTGAGTCCTGTAACTACAGAAAATTTTAACTTAATGTGAAAGCTATTTTAATCTAGTTACAACAATTGTTATAAAACACTGCTATTCTGCTGGCGACAAGTTCTCACACTACATTATTAAGATCAATTGCCTATTTTTGAAATTGAAGGATGTGCCAATTTTTCAGTACAGTTTTGTTTTTATCCCAGTCAAGTTCACTACCTTATTTTCTTTTTCTTTTTCTTTTTTTTGTTTAAGTTTTAGCGAGGATTTTTTAGTATAACAGGATAAAGCACGGACAAGGGGTGGGAGGAAAAGAGAAACATTTCCTTTTCCCCACATGGGAAATGGGAGCAAAGACTCCTTACCTCCTACATTTTATTCATGGATATGTGTGGTCCCAGAGTGAGAATCGGGTTTAGAGTGTTCTTCTAAGTTTTCTTGTCAGATCCCTGCCTGAAGTACAGTGACAGTCACTTCATTTCTTTTTAGCAACCATCAGAGGTAAAATCCAGAAAAATCAGATAATCAGATCTCACTGCTCAGTTGCAGGGCTTAACTACATTTCTGACACCAAAGCGAAAGGTCTAATTTTTTCCTTTTAGACTGTATTTTTCTTTTTAAACCATAAATTTACTTGTTCTATTCTATTCTACTCTTCTTTGTGGGACTGGGGTTTGAACTCCGGGCTTCTCACTTGCAAAGCAGGCACCCTGCCACTTGAGCCACACCTCCAGCCCTTTTTGCTCTGGTTATTTTGGAGATGGGGTCTCATGAACTATTGTCCAGGCTGGTCTGGAACATCAGCCTCGTATTTTATGGTTCCTCCCATAGCTGAGACGACAGATGCACCCCCTGCCCAGCTTTTTCCATGAAGTGGGTCTTGTGAACATCTTTGCTTGGCTGGCTACAAATGCAATCCTCGGGATCTTCAGCCTCCTGTGTAGCTGGGATGACAGGCGTGCACCACTGTGCCTGGCTTCATTAAATTTTTCGTAAATGAGGTGTACTGGTTGAAGTATTCCCCCCAGAAACTGCCAGCTCTTAAAGGCCACGGGACTGTTTGTTCCTACCCCACCTGATCCCATGTTTGTCACACAGTGCAGCTCGGGATGTTGACTGAATAAAGACTGACATATGTGAGCTGACAGATCTTTTCTGAGTTTTCAGTTGCTATTAAAATGAGTGATGATGTAGGATATCAACTGAAAAGTAAAAACAGAATCTATTAATTTAAATTTTACAAGCATCACAGACTTATAAAAGAGAGTTGAACAGTCCATGGACACAGCCAGTGGCACAACATCTAAATTTTTAGAGCACACGTCTTTCCTAGAGCAGTTTAGACAGTTACTATACGTGCGAAGTTCATCTGCATCAGTCATGATGAACCATTTCATAAATGAACCTGAGCTCAGCTACGGGGGAGACCGCTGAGGAAAATCCACTGAGCATCAGTTATGCCGGGGTCTTACCTTGCTGAAGTAGACTACACCAATGTCCCAAACCCCCTCCCATCCCTTCTCTGCCTCCTAACAAGGTAGGATGGACCCACCATGACACAACCATAGGCTCCACACTGGATTTGGCTGTTGTCATTTGTGATTTTGACCACACGATGGCTAAAAATGGCCTTTTTAATGGAGTTTGCTTTGCTGCTTGTCCCTTGGTCATTGGCCCTGAGAAGGCGGACACTCCTGGCCTAGGCAACTTGGTCCCAGGAAAAGGACGACGGACACGCAGTGCAGAGCTGCAGGTGGCAACAGACTCTCAGGCTTGTGAGTACAGTCAAGGTCACAGAGGCCACTGAGATGATCACCAGTTTGTTCATGGGTTTTTTATTATGCCTCATCACTGTGACAGTCGTGATACGGAGGTCAGCACACCAAAGCACAGAACTAAAGTATGCAGCAATGTTTGGGATGGCGTGGCGGTACAAGAGGAAAAATCCAGCAATTTCACATTTAATGTCCAAATGACAGATAATCTGGCAAAAACTGTCACTTGCAGAAACTTGGAAGAGAGAAAATGCATGATGTTTGGACTTGAGTAAAGAGATGGATTCAGCAGAACAGTGAGCTGGGTTTACAAGCTGCATATGATTCGATACTACGAGAAAGAAAAACTTAGAAAGGAACCGGCCCTTTTCCAAGCAGAATGAGAACAGAAAGTGGAGGGTTTTCCTGGGTACAGCTGCTCTTCTCCAGCCAGCTCTCTAAAGGTCAGATGACCAGAGGTCAGGTGTCCAGGACCTGATCTCCCAGGAAGACCTTGTGAGAACTAGGGAACCTCAAGGCAAGACTTCAGAACCTCCAAGGAATTCAGCCAGTCTCAAGTAGGTTCTCCTAGTGCTCATGCTTCTGTTAAGGAAGAAAGCAACTACAGTCGAGTTTGAAGAGAGAGGAACTTCAAAGGAATTGTGTGGCTTGTAGATACGTACGAAAACCACAAAATTATAAAGATAGCCTCTACCAACAACATTTCAGCAGCCTAGACCGAAAATAAAATGTGAAAAGACCCCCTTGCTTAGGCAAAGGAGCAGGCAGAGAAAAGTGCTCCCAGCTTTTTTTCAGGAGTGGGTAAGGAGGTGATGAAAGAATGTTCCAAATGCAGAGTCAAAAAATTGAGAACCAACTCAAGCCTAAAATGCAAGAACTTCCCTGTGCCCTGAGCAGGGCACCAGAATCACAGGCCACGGGCTTTACAGACCAGTGACTAGCTAGGGGCCTCCCATTCCTCCCTTCCAAAAGGCGGTGGTCAATAATATCCGAGAGTTTCACCATTCACACTTGTTTTTAGGTACTGGGGTTTGAAATCAGGGCCTCAGTTCACCAGGCAGGTGGCTCTACCTTGAGCCATACCCCCAGTCTTTTGTTGCTTTAGTTATTTT